CAGTTGACTGTGAGAGATAATCGACGATGCAGATTGTCCTTGATGATCGCAATGAACAAAAGATCCAAAGATGTATAGAAATAAAAGTACGCTAAGTATTATGGTTAGTTGTAGCTCCTTGTTAAAGTTATAATTCTTTAAGTAATGTTTACAACATTCGCGTCCGCCCATACAACACGGACGCGAATGTTGGAAATTACTTATGAAACGTTTAGGTGTATACATTCATAATCTACTAAAAGCTTAAAGATAAAATTGAATTTGGCTGGAAAATTAGATTTGAAGTTTATGCAAATCAAGACAGTTTTGTATCAAATATTACAACAATCTTCACGGTTGTGATTTCTATTGTGTTTTCCTCAATTATTCATGAGTTTTACAATTAGCGATATACGATTAGATATAAATTTCACCTTTTCTGAAAGTTGTTTTTTAAGATATGCCTTATCTGTCGACTCACTTGTTTTGAAAATATATATACCAAGATTACAGGCAGCCTTAAGGCCCGGCCAAACGGTAAATGTTGCACGATGCAACACCATGCAACATTGTTGGATCATCAAACAAATTTGAGGCTGGCCAAACGGTTTGAAACATTGCCGTAAAACATTGCCGGGAAGACTATTATTGTCTACAAAAATACCCATAATGCGTCAAATCCGAGGCGCAGTACGCAGTACATGTTTCATATAACCGGCCAAACGGCAAAACATCGCACGTCAAACACGAGAACAAAAGAAATGTTGCACGGTGTTGCATTAAATGTTTGACGGCCTTCAAACTCCGTGCAACATGTTGTATGCTCCATCCAACAACATCCAACACTTCAAACACGGTGGCTAAACGAGAAAATGTTGCATCGCGCAACAATGTTGCATGGTGTTGCATCGTGCAACATTTACCGTTTGGCCGGGCCTTTAGACTTCTGGCAACAACTTCATAGAAGTAATGGTATACACTACTTACTCAATTAATATGTGAGCGCTGTCATTGTAAAAGGCACCTATAAGCTACTGAGGTCCCTATTGGGCGCTGCTCTTTACCCTACAGGTCACTGATATCGGTCGTGTTCTTCAGCGTCCATTTGCATTGACAACACTCATGTAGTTTTCTGACTAGCGCAAGCGCTGTGCTGTCATGCTGGTATGGAGTCCGAGCGAGCTATTTAGTAGGCCAGCGACTTCAACTCACCTTTGTCATTTGCTACGAGACAAGTAACGCGCGCGACGATTTACCCTCTCTTCTTTCAAACCAGAATAACAAAGCCAATAGTCAAGGCTACCTGATCATGACGTGTTGGTTGTAAGGTTAAACAGCGCTTTCTCCACGTAGATGGGCATCCGAAAAACTGCGCTATCTTGGTGCTCTTCTGCTCAACARTTGTACARACATAATTATGGTCTGATAAAAGCGATGCTGCATTCTGATTGACAGCTCTAATAGAGGTCTAATTTAGACCATAAGAAAAGAAGCAAGATCGCGGACTGAAAAGAGGAAAACCACGATTAACGATAATTTCTTGCCCTGAGAACTGTCGTTCTCTATTGTTATTTTGAAAGAAAAAGGACTTTACGCTTTCTGTGTTTACTGCTCCAAAAAGGAGATTAGCATGTGATGTGAAGTGTGATAAAAACATTTTCGACTCTGAGTGATTATTCTAATTTACACCAAACGAGTTCGTTCGATAAAATGTATTGTCCTCTTGTGCGTACAACAAATATTATGTGCGAAGGAACCAACACAGGGATCCCACTAATAAAAAGCAGTGAAATGAAGGACGGAAACTGGAAAAGCATTTTACTTGAAGTGATGCCTTTAAAGGAGACGACATTCTAAGATTACAGGATTGCTTGTTATTATGAATATGTATGATCTAATGAAACAATCTATGGCTTTTTAAAAAAATATTAAAAACATATAAAATGTAAAATAGCCTGATGATTGTGTAACAACATGAAACTTATAGTCGCTACCCGCTTCATGTGTCTTTGATTCCGTTAACTCATACGTACCCTGCTCTACACAGTATCGAGCACTCTAATGAAAACTGGAAGACCGACCACTAAATAGTAAAATGTGAAATATATATGTTTATAATGACATTATGTACAATAGTATGGCTTATTTCTATATTTCACTCTTTCAGTTGTCACTCAATGAAATCTTTCATTTTATCTTTCAAATGATCAAACATTGATTCTTCATTTCAATCATTGTTGATATACACAATATATCATATTTTAGCTACCAAACTGACACATATATTTA